ACTTCGACACATTCAAGTCAAAACGTGGTCAGACATATACCAAACCACTTCACTTCCCAGTTTTAACAGTTCTAACCTCACCTTTTTAAGATTTGACACTTGACACGATACCTGGCATAACATTAGATACTGACAACGTTGTATTCCAAGGGGGCTACAATTAGCCGCTTTTCAGCGACTGCTTTGGAATACCGTGTTGCCGGATTTTACGGACATATTGGAATGGAGTACTTGAGTACTAACGGATTTTTGATTCTGAAATTCCAAATGAGCAGAGAACTGCGAAAACTGGAATTACTTGTTGCTCCACCAACGATTTATTTATGTCATCACCAAATGGTAATCTTCACTCGCACTTGTTGCCATCACTTCAATCTTCGCATTTTTTACTGGCCACTGGCAACAATGCATTCCAAAGAAGCAACATTTTTACTGATATCGCGTCCGTTAAACCAGCTGTGTGGTGAATTTCCATTTGATTGGTGCTGGAGTACCAGCAAAAAATGCCACCCATTCCTTGTACCAGATAATGAAGTTTCGATAAGTGGAATGGAGAGAGGAAATGAGCGATTGAACCGGCGCCACTGGGCCCTGAAATTGAATTAAGGGCTCTCCTCACACAAAGGGGTGTGTTCTCTGAAAATATTGTTTTATAATTTATTTTCTAAGTGCTGTGGTCCATTCATTTCATGCGAGCAAGGGGGATGCTCGATGCTAGGGGGCGAAGCCGTGCGTTGAACAGAGAGGGAGCCAGTTAGTTACGCACTAGTGTCAGGGGGCTTAATGCTGTCGCCTTTAAAGACACGATCGGAAGTGGAACAGATGCGGCCTGCATTCAACTTAACTTAACCTCAAACTTTGGGTTTGTGTTGGATCGATCCGGGTGACCGAAGTTTTTGAGCGAGTTTCATAAAACTTTTCTGCAATATGCTCTCGGGCCGCGCTTTCAAAACTTGCGGATTCTAATGTAATTTTCTGCATTCGCATCGACGGTCGCGGCGATCAATGTAGTCGCATTTGAGGAACATTTTCGATGAAGGAAAATTCCTGATGAATAAAAAATGTCCCTTTCCATTCTCCTCCTGCAAATTTAAAGCCCCAATACATCAACCCCGCCGTTGTATCAATTATTTGGTGGGGCCCTCAATCCGCTGGCAGCGTAAGGTTGCGAATCGCTTGCGCCCCCTCCGTCTACATAATACATATAGACACACTTCTCTGTTTACACAAATTACTAGCGATATTTTTTCTCGGGCCCCGTTGCCGCCCCAGTCGTCTCAAACCGACTAATTCCTTGTTGCGGACGAGGCACAATGGCCGATGAAAGGCGGAAACCGCCTTCGTTCCGGCAACGTGGCGTGATTAAGGAGACCATTCACGATCGGAATGACGTCAAGGGCCGATCGATACCGAACGGGGCCGAGCTGCGCCTGCTCGCGGGTAATTTAAATTTTATTATCACGTGGAGGCTGACGAGCGCGCCCGGGAAAATGACTGTTGGGAAATTTCTATCGACGTTTTCCGAATTTATTTTCTACAGTTTGGAAACCGGAAGTCACAAATCGAATGCATTCAGTATCGCTTGAAAATCCAAAATGCGTTTGACAACTGATTAATCTCAGTGTCACTAGACTGTCATGTCGTTACGACAGTTGCACGGAGGGAATTTGGGTCACAAGATGGAAATAGCGGCAGCATTAACAAGTCGCTACGGTTTCGTTCTATTTCTATTTCGCCGGAATTCCGAAGGAAAAGCCGAGCGGTGCGGTTCGCACCTGAACCAGTGAAAAGGGAGCAAAACGACGACAGACAACCGCCGGTGACAAATCGGGGGCCGCTCAGGTGCCTTTCGGCAAACAGGGCCGGACTTGCGAGGAGCGGCTAATTGTAGCCCCCTTGGAATACAACGTTGCCAGTATCTAATGTTATGTCAGGTGTCGTGTCAAGTGTCAAATCTTAAAAAGGTGAGGTTAGAACTGTTAAAAGTGGGAAGTGAAGTGGTTTGGTTTATGTCTGACCACGTTTTGGCTTGAATGTGTCGAAGTAGTATCAGTGTTCTGTCGTAATAACGTACAAATAATAACTTTTATATCATTAGTTATGTCTATTTCCAATGTTTGCAGTATTTGTCAAAAAGGCTTTTCAACACAGGGAAATCTCAATAAACATTATCGTACAAATCATGGTACCACAGCGAATAAACTAAAATTGTGTTTGATTTTCTTTATAATTGTTATTTGTACAGGGTGTTCCGTACATATGTTAAAATATTTTAGCAGCGTGTTCTCTTAGTCATTTTAGAGGGGGTCTTCCTGAGAATTTTTTTAATTTGAGGTCTCATTTTTGAGATATTTGATMTCCAAAATGGCGAAAAATATTAGTTTTTGTTGTTTTTCTTTAAGACGGTTAAACATTGGGAACTTAAATTTTGGTACACATAAGATAATGGAAGGCCATTCTATGGTAGTGTTTTGTAGTTCAGTTTACTTTTATACAGGGTAGAAATGTGGAACTCCTACTTTTGTCTTGTTCAGAACTTTTTTATGTGCACTTAAACTTTTATCAACATAATTTTTTTAAATACTACAAGTTATTTATCAATTTTTTATCTCATTGTTTTTTCTTAAGGGCACTAGTTTGCCCGCAAAAAAATTAAATCGTGTCGGCTTAATCAAAACTTTCCAGGCCGTTGGACTGCTAGAGGTCAAAAAGCTCCTATTAACTCGCTTCCTAGATCTCCCGATTTAAACGCGCTCGATTTTTACTTCTGGGACCATTTAAAAAGCATGGTATATTCACCAGAAGTGAATACAATTGAAAAACTTTAGGAAGGAATTTGTAATATTTCTAACGAAATAAGAACTTCAGTGCAAACTTTACGGTCTGAAAATTTTTGTTTCATTAAAAGACTGCTGCTAAGTTAACATTAGAATGGTTATTTAAATTTAATTTTGTTTGTTTATATCGTTGCGCATATTGTTAGCATGTTTTTATTTACGTAAAATTTATTCAAACTATAATGTATATTATTTTAATAAATTTTTTTAAATTCTTTCAACATTAGAAATCTTAAACTGATTTTTGGTAGACATTTTAAATCGGATATTAATTTATTTTATCGATATCTTAAATAACTCGGTAAATATATAATAATGTCTTTTTCATTTTCTCTCTCTCTCTCTCTCTCTCTTTCTATAATAACGCCTCAAATCAGCTGAAATCTGGCAACAATGTATTCCAAGGGGGCTACAATAGCATACGTTAAAATGCAAATGTGACCGCTCTCTGCGCATGCGCGAAAATTTGTAATAGACGAGACGACCTAAGGACCTAACCTAAGATTGACTGCATTGTTGATCTGAAGGGGGGATGTTTACTTACTATTTACTCTGATTACCGCAGAGTAAATAGTATTTACTCTCAGCAGACTACTCACTATTCTGAATATCGAACACGCCGCTTCCCTTTTTCTGTATCTGTACTTACATTCCTTTTTTAACCACTGCGGATTAGTTCTCGTATATTTTAAACTTTTGTTATTTGCGGTTTTCAGGTAATTTGTAATTTAATGATTAAATAGATCGCTCTCATACCTATTGTTTTCATTATACTATTTTTATACAACAATTACAATTACCTACAACTTTTATTAAATAAATTATGCAGGAAAATGCCGGTTAAAATTCCACTTTAAGTGCAGAGTATAAACTGCTATAAACGAAACCTCAACTTTATGTTCGGTAACTGTTAACAAATTGAACTTAATAGCAGATAAAGAAATAATAAACAACTCCTATTTAAAAAAGGGTTATTGGGTACATCACCAAATAGGACATGCATCACGCACTCTACATGTCCTAACAAATCCTAAATAATAAGAAAGCCAAAAAGAGAAAAGCATTAAAAATTTCAAATAGGGAATAAAATGAAGTTCTGTTACATTCATAGGACATACGTTACATAGATACAAGGTCCCCACAGCGATTCTTTAGTAAATAAGACATGAACATTATTAAGATGTTGATTGCAACTTCAATGGAACAACATGGAATAGTTGCTTATTTCTTGCTTTGCATCTGGGTGACAATTTATGATATGGCCACTTCTACCAGACACAGTTGAATCAGTTTGGTCGCACAGAGAGCATTAAAATTTCGTCCTGCAAAATAAATAGCAACTCAAAAGATAAACAGTTGCCGTATAGCTCTAGAGCCACTATATTTTATATTCCTTTCAGATTCCATATCGTACTTGAATTTTGAACCTACTAAACATGTTTAATACTTCAGAGGGCAGAAAGACCGATTGAGTCGATAGCCTTTTTCTTTAGGAAATAAAGATTATTTATATATAAACTTCAGATTCAGATCAACAATTGTCAACAATGTGGTCGATCTTAAGGTTAGGTCGTATTGCCAATCTATCGTCTCTCATAAACGTTGGAGCATGCGCAGAAAGAGGTTAGTTTTGCATTTTAATGTATGCTCTACAATTAGCCGCTCCTCTCAGTTGCAACAGATATGGCGGCAGTGACAGTTGCAGTCTCATCCGTCAAACGAATTGACATTGATCGTTTGGCGCATGAATGCACGCGGATGGATTAGATGGGGGGAATGCTCCCCTGTTGTCCACTTTGTGGCGGCACGCCGCAACGCCGCGACGCTTAAAGAGGATCGCCGATTCCGGGTGGATGGGCTGCTTTAAGAACGCCGTGGCGCCCGGCCACGCCTAGACGCTCGAAGAGGACGCCGCTAATTCGTTCCTTATTGCGGATGAACGGATGGGAAAGAGATCCGGATTGCAATTGTTTTGCAGGCAGTGTCAAACTGTCGCTCAATTGTCCAAATGTCATTGACCCGAGTGCACCGGTGCAGTCAACGGCCTTTTTTTCGCACATGGCTTCTATGACGTCATCCGATGCACAAACAAAACAACTGAACGACTGAATGAAATGTTACTATTAGTGCATTCCGGAATTACGCGTAAACAACAAATTCCCACGCCGATGACGCAGTAGGCGCTGATTGCGTGGCCTCCACCGGATGCACCGCTCCATACCGGTATAGTGTGCAGCGCTGTTGCCATGTTGGTCCTCCCGCAGGCAAACTTGATAATTGACTATGACAGTGTCAACTAAAGCTGGCAGCATCTCAATGGCGGGGTTGGATTAAAATTACCGCCTTTGCTTGAGTGTCCGCAGGCAAAAACTTCGGCAATCTTGACTAAGCAAGACTAAGATTTTGTTTTTACACCGATTCAATTTCCTGTTACTAACCATCGCTAAAGGAGGCAGAGTTTTTTGGCTGCCAACGGCAACATGGCAGGACGATGCGTGTGCCACCAGCAGATAAACAAAAACAGCCTTGGCGGCTGTCACAGATTATGCGGAAGCGGGCCGGGGGAGGATGACCTAGACCAGCGGCTCGACGACACTCAAGGCGGCGTTGCCGCGTGCACCTGTGACTTATCAGGTTTTTTTTCGGTTACCTGCGCAATTGCTGCTCAACTCGAATGAAGGGCGCTGTTGTCTATTGTTCTGAACAATTACTCTAGCCAGTCGGGCCGGGCCATTAAAGTCAACGCGAGCTTGATACACGACCAGAAAGCGAGTGGTTCCGGACGAAAAAATGGCCTTTATTCGGAGAAATCGCTCGTGATTTGGCCATTAAAGCTCGCAGGTCGTGAGAACCTGTGGACGCCAATGTTGCCATCATCATCCACTTGACTAAAACGTGAATTTTTCTTGCAGGGTTCCACTTGAGCGGGCTAGTGACAGCTCCGAGGAGTCCGCCCCCGCCGACACTTCCATGTGGCGACATCGAGCCGCCCACTAAATTCAAAGTTTCCGTTAGTTTTGATAGGTTAGTGGCAGCAAATCAGTCCTATTGGCTGGCTTTTTTTTTTTGAAAACTACCCCCACTCTTTTCCAGATGTAAAATAACTGCAGTGACATGCACATGTGATACGAAAGACATTTTCTGGTGCCAGCATGTGGTGGCTCTATCTTTATATCGAATCCGCAATGCCGACAGTGTCGGACTCAGAGTTCCTATATCTGGTAAGTATTTCCGGAATTTCGCCGCTCTCAAGGCTTGGTTTGCCGCTGGTTTTTTTTCCGAAAAAAAGGTTATTTTTTCACTATTGGGCAGCCCAATAAAAAATCGTTGAACAATAGATGGATTTATTGCCGGCCGTCTGATCGCCTTGATGACAGGATGAGACAATTGAGGCAGCAGGTAGCGAAGCGAGACCTATCGATCCATTCGTCGGCTCGCACGCTTTGATCTATCCCTTTCCCGACCGAGCTATCCGCTTGAACCAGGGCAATTTCGCATTTGTACTGGGAATTGTACCGGTTTTCCCCCACCTATTCAGCGTGTGTTTTCCATTGTACTCGCTGGTGTACAACAGGGCGCTAGCGCAACCGTTTAATTGACCGAATGGTCTATCGTCTTTAAACCGTTTAATAGCTCCCCACCCTTTAAATGTCGCTCACTTTTGCTTTTCCGGGCCTTTTCTCGTGCCCCGCTTCCGTCCGGCTTTGTTTACGCTTGACCACAACCTTTACCACTATTTTCTTTCATGCTTTCCAACTGTATTCCGATCTTTTTCTCGTGGTTTCCTCAGCGCTTAGGGGCATGGGGCGCGGTTTTCACGTGTCAACTCGCCCAATTAGTGTGGATTTTCGAAAATATTAAAAAGCATCACGCAATATTTTGCAGAGAGAGTTTCAGCCAACAATCGCAAATGTTTATTTGCGGCTTAGTAAAAAGTCACACAAGAACAGCTCTTGTTAAAATAGAGGATTAAAATAAACCAGAGATTGGGTGTACTGGTTGGGCAAAAAAAAAAGAAAACAGCTGATGCTCGTTTTTTTAAGCAGTGGTTGAAAAAAGTACTTTGGGCATTTAATTTAGTAGGGAAGATTGTAGCTCTGAAGAATGAGAAAACATTGGCCTTCAGCGCGGTTGCCGAGTTGTCCTGGGGGTTGCACGCATTTGCTCCGCGCTGAATGAAGAAGAGACCGTTGTGGAACTACCGCTGCTGCAAATGTACTATTCGTGCACTTGTTGTACAACAAATTTAAAAATCAATAGTTTCTACAGTATAATCTGCAAAAACTCAATTATTATGCATCTGAGCCACATTTTTGCATGTTGTTGCTCCCTAAAACAGAAATTAGCAGCAAAAAGCACCGGTCTTTGTTTTTTCCTGTATTTCAGTTGTTCTCAGAAACAACAAAAAAATTGGTACTCCTCAAACAACAAGTTTTCACCGGAATATCCAGCTGAATATTTCCACTTAAAATGCTTTGGTTATTTGCAAACAAAAAGCAATATGTGTTATCAAGCACAGCCACATTGACTCGTTCCAATTGTACTGAAGCTCAGCGATTTAGTACATTTATACTTGCCGCGTGAACCGCGTCACCCATCTGATAACTGTCGTCAGATGGCCGTCAAGATGGCAGAAGCAAGCACGTTCGTAGGTTAATGTGTCGCGTTTGTTTAGTATTTTTGCGTAATTTGTAGTATGTAGTTTAAAAAAAACCATCAGTTTCCCGTAAACAAGTACATGGTACTAGAGCGGTTATTTGTACGTGGCGCGTCGCACTAACACTCGAAAATTACCCAGTGAATGGTGACTGTGACTATGGAAGATGAGTTTTTTGACCAATTTCGCAACAAGGATCTTTCCAAGATCAAAAGGTTCGATTTCAAGAAGTTCAAGGCTGCAAAGGGGTCGCCAACGCCCCCGCATTCCACCGTGAACGCCGCGAGTCAAGAGGTCTCTAACAGTTTGTCCAGTGTTACTCCTCATAAGAGCCCTGAAAGGGCATTACCAGTGCAAAAGCTAGTTATACCTTCAAGAAAGCCAAAGCCAACTAGTACAAAGGTGTCAAATGATATTGGGGCTGCTAAAAGCAGTGATACTTACCTGGATAGCCTGTATAAAAGCACTGGGGCCCAACGGGAGCCCCCGGCTGCTCAAATAGTGATTAAGGCCAATAGCCCCAGTTTGCTCTCGGGGGCCTCGCGGCCTCCTTGCAATGTCAGTAAGTATTTCACGGAGGGCAGCCCCAAAAAAGGCAGCGAGAATGCGTCCCCCTTTAAGAGGATTTTACAGTCAAAGCTGCAATCACTCACTGTTGAGGAATCTGTGGAGGTCAAGCCGAAGAAGTTCCACTTTAAGAACCGTTTGAGGGCTTCGGCTGCTTCAGAGGCAAAGCCTCAGCCAAAGGAAGAATCGACTCAGAAGACCGTCCAACCAGGCAAATCTCTAAGTAAAGCAAAGGGCCTGCTGGTGTCCGAGTCACTAGATGTGAACGACGCCGACTATATGGATGACGATGAGTTTGAGCGGCGCTTTGGAGGCTTGGCCGAGCCGGTGGAGGGCATTGAACAACACAAGGTAGAAGAAGACACTAAAGAACTTTTAAATGAGATATCAAACCTGGCGTGGGACGAGAACGTTTTCGAAGAAGAGCCTCAGCAGGGCTTCAAGGATCGCGACGACGACTCGGAGGAGTTCAGAAAGGACTACGAACACTCGGAGGTGATGATGGAGGTGCTGCATCAGAAGTTCGGATTGCGGGAGTTCAGGCCTCATCAACGCGAGATCATCAATGCCAGTCTTATGCAGCACGACTGTTTTGTTCTGATGCCTACCGGGGGCGGCAAAAGCTTGTGCTACCAGTTGCCGGCTATCCTGATGCCTGGAGTGACTGTGGTGATTTCGCCGCTGCGCGCTCTGATCAGCGACCAAGTGGGTGAATTTTGGCTGCTCTTCCAGGGCTTGTTTTGCACTTTGATGTTTCCAGGTGGACAAGCTGAATGCCCTGGACATAACAGCCGCCCATCTGTGTTCGGACGTGTCCAAATCGGACAGCGACCAGATCTATATGAAGCTCAGCATGAGAGAGCCGGGAATCAAGCTTCTCTACCTCACGCCTGAGAAAATCAGCGCTTCTAGGTACTTGTCCAGAGACTAGTTAAGATATAACTATTTGCTAAGTCGAAAAGCGAGCTGCTTTAGCCTAAAAGAACCAAATGCTTCGAACTATTTCGCCAACATTTGGGGTTGATGCTGTCGCTCAATTATGTAACTTTCCCCATTTAAGGATCATCATCGACATGCTGAATGGTCTCTATCAGCGGGGCAAACTGGCCAGGTTTGTGATCGATGAAGTCCATTGTCTGTCCCAATGGGGCCACGACTTTCGGCCCGACTACAAGCAGTTGGGGCTGTTGCGCAGCAACTACGGCGAAGTGCCCATCATTTGCCTAACGGCCACCGCCACTAAACAGGTGGAGAACGACGTTATTAACATTCTAAATTTGAGGAGCGTGAAACGGTTCATACGCAGCTTCAATCGGCCCAACATCAAGTACGAGGTATTCGTAGCTATTTTGTGATTTGTTCGCGTAGGCAAAGCAATCGGCAACCTTCTAGGTGATCAACAAAAAGGGCAAAGCCACGGGCGCAATAGCCGGCCTTATAAAGTCGAAATTCCCGAAAAAATCCGGCATTGTTTACTGCCTGAGTCGCAGCGATTGCGACCGTCTAGCGGATGATTTCAACCAGATGGGAGTGAAGGCGAAGCCCTATCATGCTGGCATGAACGACAAGGTTTATAACAGTCTCAGGTGTCTGTCGCATGTATCTGTTTATGCGAGTGTCGGCCAGAAGTCCGCAGTCTCCGACCGATAGAAGCACTTTCGCATCCTCGTACAAACGGATGCATGGGACAGGGGCTTTAATCGGCCACCATCCATACATAAATTGCGCTTTTTAGGTGCGGGAAGCGATCCAAAGAGAGTGGATGCAGGATAGATTCCACGTGATCGTGGCTACTATTGCCTTTGGCATGGGTATCGATAAACCAGACGTGCGCTTTGTAATCCACAATTCCATCCCCAAGTCGGTGGAGGCGTTCTATCAAGAGAGCGGGCGCGCGGGGCGGGACGGCGAGGTCTCCTACTCCTACCTGTTTTACTCCTACGGCGACGTCGGCCGACTTAAAAGGTAGGCGACAGGCAGGAGCGCAGCCGGCAGGCGATTAATGCATACCTAGGCTGATGCAGATGGACCGCAATATGAACAAAAAGACACTGGAGGCGCATAACGAGAATCTCAAACAGATGGTGAGCTTTGCGGAGAACGTGGTGGACTGCCGCCGCTATATGCAGCTGATCCATTTGGGCGAGCATTTCAACCGGCGGATTTGCATCGAGAACGCGGCAACTACGTGCGATAATTGCCAAAACATCGACAAGTACAAGACAATCGAAGTGACCAAGCAGGCCAAAGAGCTGTGCACTCTTGTTAAAGACATTTCGGGCAACGGCAACTTCACTCTGCTGCATGTGGCTGATGTCTACAAGTACGAACAGGTAGAGTGGGGAGAGTGCGGCCGACTAACAGGGGCTGTTTCAGGGGGGCGAAGATCAAGAAGATCATGGAGAAGGGCCATAACAGGCACCCGCTTTATGGGGCCGGGGCCCCGATGGACAAGACCGATGTGCATCGGATCCTCAAAGAGCTGATCCTCAAGCACGTGCTGCAGGACTTTTGCACCTACACGGGCGAGTTTCCTGTCGTCTACATTCGCCTCGGGAAGATGTTCTATCAGTTTTACAACTCGGACTCTCGATTGACGATTTCCGTGTGCAACGACAAGCAGATTCGGCAGCAAGAGCCGCTGCTGCGTGTCTCTAGTGAAGAGTTTGAGGACAAAAGTCGCCCTGCCACCGCCTCTAAGGAGGTGATCCGACACAGTGTGCAGAAGCAGAACACTGCAAAGCTGCAGGCGGCGCGCAAACTTCAGTTGGCGCAATTTAAGGTGCCAACCAGCATTTTTAAGCAACACAAAGTACATGCGTGTTATTTTGCAGGTACAATGCCACGAAGAACTACTGGAGGAATGTCGCCGATTGGCCATGGAGCGCAACCTCACGCTCTCCTCCATCATGAATCTGTCCGCCATCAAATCGATGAGCGACCATCTGCCCGCGTCTAAAGAGGAAATGTTGAAAATCCAGCACGTAACGGTGGCTAATTACACCAAGTACGGCGAGTTTTTCCTGCCAATCACGCAGAAGTTTCGCGAAAAGTACGACGCGCTGCTGCCATTGACTACGCTTAAGAGCAGCCCTGAGGCGGCGCAGGATGAGGACGATTTTCGCCCGTCAACGTCCCAAAGCCGGGGCGGTTCGCCCAGTAAAAAGGGCGTCAAACGCAAGGGCGGCTGGGCGGGCAGGCGGGGCGGCTTTAAGAGGAAGAAACCCGCCAGCAAGAAGGGCAAGAAATCGGCCAGCGGAAGTGGCTGGAAAACGAAAGGCACCGCCAAGGGAAAATCAAAAGCGAGTTCCATCGGGCTGATGCCAGTGCACATAATGTGACAACTTTCGAAAAACTTATTGTTTTATTGTTACCCCTTAGAAAGGACCTTTTTTCGCCGATTTATACCGTAGTAATAGAATTAATTGCGACTTTTTAGCGGCAAACCAAGACCATTGATTTGATTAAAAACTGTTCACATAGCCTAATTGTTTAAATGTTTTCCTTTAAAGAAACGCTTTTGCAAATGGATCGGCAACAACTGCAAAAATTCGTTCAGTACCTGATCGCCGAGCACCATACGGAGGTGCTGCCCACTGCGCAGAGACTAGCCGACGAAATCCTGCAACAGCGCAGCGAAATCAATCAGGTAACTGTCGGAATTTTATGGCTTTTTCGGTATATTGAAAGTTTTTCAAATCACAATTCGCGAATAAAAATAATACTTTGTTAAAAAATACCTTCCTGTTTTAGTTTATAACATAAAACAATACTTACACACTTCAATTTGTTTCTGTTTGCTTAAAGGCTTGCAAAAGCTGAGTAGAACTGAGCCAAACAAGTCACAGTGACACCTAAGCGCAATAAGTGTCAAAGTTGACTAGTTGAAGTGTAGTATTTAGCCGCCAGCGGGCGCTTGAACTTAACCGATAACCGCCCCGTATCGGATTTATCCAATTCATATACAAAGCCTCTGAAAGTTATTTGTTGTGCATCTCACTCGCGCACATTGACTTTATGGGAGAACCGCTGATGGACGGAAGCAAATTTCAGCAGCGAAATCACTCAAATCGAGATGAAAATTCAATTTTTTTTAATAATTAATTAGATCGCGGGCGCCCCCGACCCGACGGCAGGCGCTGCCGCAGACGACGCACACACGTGGCACCTAGACGAGACTCAAGTATGCGAGCAGGTGCGCTCCTACCTGGCACAAGGCACCTACTACAACGCGAACAAACAGCTAAACTCGCTATTTTCCAAGGTATGTAGCATAGAGGGTGCCACCGTTAGTACCGAAATAAAGAAGGCCCACTGGCTGAATTGTGACGTCACTTAAAGTAGTCCGACCAGGCATAGCGCGTAGCGGAGTATAGGATGGATCAACTGTACGAATATGAATATTTTAGACAAAAATAATGTCTTCAGGAATTAATATGCTTTTTACATTGCTT